ATTTTACTTTCCGTCTTTTGCTTTATCTTACCATGTCCTGACACAGGACAGAAGGACCCAGTATTCAAGGCGAAGCAGACAGTGGGATTATTCAAAGCACTTATTAAAACAAGAGAAGGCTGTGGATCCAGGGTATCAGGGGCTAGGGGGTCTATTAGTGAAGCTCTGTTGGAGAGAAACACAGGTTAATTTTATGACTAGAAAGTTGGATTTATTGAATTATGAACATACTGTAGAGCCAGAAAGGTGTGGGGGTGTGACTGTGACCCCTCACACCCCCACCATGGACTGTTTTTCCTGCTGCACTCTGGGAAGAGACTTCGAAGCATTAAGATTCCAAAACAGCTTCTTCCACACTGCCATCAGACAGCTGGAAAAAAACTTTAAATCATGTCACAAACTCTGCATCTAACTGACAACACCAAACCAAAACACTGCATAATTGCACCATATATACAGATACAATGATAGTATAGCATACAATACACCTTGATATCATCTCTGAGGTATAAGTAGTACTATTTAATCTGACATATATACTGTGGTAGCTGAAGATGAGAATATGGGCTTTCTGTATGGACGTGAATCTAAGTACCTGGAACCAAAGCACCTGTAGTTGTTTGTGAGAGTGCACTTGTGCACGTAAAGTTTATTCAAAGGAAAGATGCTCAATAGTGGTTGTGAAGAGCTAAAGACCCGCCCTCCCAGAGCACCGAGGCAGGCACTGGGGGACCCAAAACCGCAGATGCCCAAAGGAATCCCCAGAGCAAAAGTGTCGAAGAGGGGCCAACTCAGGAAATCTGCCCCTCACCAAGGGAAGAGGAGAGACGGCCCCGAAGGTCCCTTAGTCACAGCAATGCTGAAGCCGGCAGGCTAATCATGTGATTAGGATTTATGTGCGATTAATTAATTACTGTATTGCCACAGGCCTACTCAAGACTTGACACTTGACTTTGACTTGCAAAAAAGGACTTGTGAACATGTCTGGTTCACCCTTGTAAACTGGTTCTGAGCCTTGAATCACAGTCCACCCTTTAGACCCACTCATTCCTCCCTGGCGAATCCATCTCTCATCATCACCAGAGACCTGTTGCTGTTTCCTCAGTCCCAGACCTCCAGCCTTCTTTCCTGTTTTTCTTCTATAAACATCTATAAACAACTTTTTCTTGTCTCCTGAGTGTGGATGTGGAAATCTACCTAAAACTGTATCAATAACTTAGTCTTTATTAATTACCTCAGTTCGTATAATATATTTCTTTTTACTGTGATCCTGTTTTCTTGAACTTTGACAGACTATAATTGTTATCATTTTGAGTTTCTATCTTTAAAATTGCACAAATTGCCAAGGCAGCGCGTTTCACTCTAGTGAGCTTCATATTCCTCTTCTGCTCATTTGGCTTCCGAATAGACAAGTCTGAGTAGCACCATCTCACTGCAGAGCTGAGTCCGAAGTGATTTTTAGATGTACAGTGTGAGCTGGTAGGTAACATCAGAGCGTTGGGTTCCTCGTACAGTGTGAGCTCTAGCTGCGTGCAATGATTTAAAAAATTGCACACTGTATGCCCGCCTTTATCTCCAAAAAAACATATAGTGTTGGTCTACAAGCCAGCTCTTCTTTGTCAGTATTCCTTACATATTTTGGTTAGTATAAGTTATAGTTTATAACAATATAAAATAAACGAATATTAGTTTTGATTTAAACCATGTTTTGCAACAACTGCATATTAGTGGAGGTTAAGTCAGAAAAGTAAGCAATGATGCTGCATCACAGGTTGTAAAAGTCTCTTCTCTCTGAAAGGAAAATGACAATGACGGAAGTGACTTTCTGATCTCTGGGGCTGTGGTCTGTCAGACACATTTAAAAGAATCCGCCTTCATTGGACTTTGACCTGGTTAAATGCCTCACTCTGATGAGTTATTAAAAAGCTTTCACTAAACTGCAGCTGCAATAAGGGGAACAAGTTTTTGATCTCTTTTAAATCAACAACAGTGATGTTGTCGGAAGGTGGATGGGTCTTGATAGTTTACATTGTCTGCATCTCAGGTATCTGCTGATCTCGAAACTTCAAGTATATTTTGTACATTTTTATCAGTTTTTTTTTTTACTTAAGACTGTTTTTAACAAATCCAATCACAGTAAATGCAACACAGGAAAAAATAAATTAAAAGTTGTGTTGATCAAATCTTTGTTTCAGGTACTGAAGGCAAACCAAACAGCCTCTGTGCTTTAAAAGGTTCATCAGTGAATCTGAGCTGCTCAGCTCCACATTCAGCTGCAAACACGAAATGGTACAGTTATATTGGAAATGTTTTTCAAGATGTTCCCACAGATGGGAATCCTTCAAAGTTCAGGATTTCAGAAGACACTTTAACCCTGACAATCAGAGATCTAACAGAGACTGATGGAAAACTTTACTGCTGCAGTGAAACGACTGCAGACAAACGAATCAGCTGTCAGAAGAACAGCATTAATCTCCATGTTACAGGTAGACATGTTTGATATAGAATCAATAAGCATAGAAATAAAACATGTAAATTAATCTAGATCTTAACACTACCTCAGAACTTCAGGTAAAGGTGTTTCCTGCCACAGAGGAACAGAAAGTAACCCTGATGTGTAAAAGCAGCTGTCCTCTGACTGAAAGTCCTGCAGCCTTCATCTGGTACCAGAACAGAGAGTTCCTCTATGAGGACTGGTCCCACTGGTACCGAGAACTGGTCAGCAGTGATCAGGCAGTCAGATACTCCTGTGCCATCAAAGGCTATGAGGATCTGAGATCTCCTGAGGTCTCAGTGGGTGAGTGACCATGATTAGCTCTTTGTTTTCTATCCCCAATGCTGAGACACTAAGTGATGTTTGGTCTGGTTCAGATTCTGTCTCTAGGAGCTGCTTCAGTGTGACCTACGCTGGAGGCAGAATGTGTTCCTACAAGCAGACAGAGAAACAGTCCTGCTCCATCACATTTCCTACAGGTTATGTTACTTTAATCTGCTGCTTTTCTAATCTAATCTCCCTAATCCAACAATAGAAATGTTGATCATTTGTTCATTTACTCTTCAAGCTAACAGAAATCTTTATGTTTTAACAATAAATGTCTTATTTGGTAGAAATAAATATCTGAAAATGTTCATCTTCTCCCAACAGAAGTTCATGTTGAAAGGACAGAAACAGTTAGGGATCATTTGAAGCTGACCTGTAGCTCCAGCTGTTCTCTGACTGACCTTCAAACTTCCTTTCAGTTGTTTAAGAAAACACAAACTCGTCTAAATAAAGTTGATCAAAACACTGTAGTTTCCAGCAGTACACCGGAGAGTTTCTTCTGTTCTGTGAAAGATCTTAATGATCTGCTGTCTGACGAAGCTTGTAAGTTTTGTTTATATTAATATATTTATAAATAATCTCAGTAAATATTTTCAGTTGTTATTATTTCATATTTCAGGTGCTGATGGTAACAACAGCTGCTGGACTATTAATTATGTGAGCAGGAGAATCTGTGCCCTGAAAGGTTCATCAGTGAACATCTCCAGCAAATACTCACATCCTGAATACCTGCAGCCACAGACTAAACACTGGTATAAAGTTAAGATGAATACAATGCAGGAAGAAGAACACTTAATGGATGATGGAGGTGACATAAAGAACAAACACATCCTCAGATTAACCAACCTGGATCAGAAAGATTCAGGAGAATACAAGTTGAGAATAAAAGCAGACAATGATGAACTGATACAGTCTGATTATCATGGAGTTACTCTGATTGCAACAGGTAAATATGATGAGTTTTTATTTGTTATAGGTTTTTAGTAAACTGCTTTTTTTAGTCTACCTCCTGTTACAAAGCTCTTTATCACTGTGAAAACATTCTTGTCACAAACTTTAAAACATCAGGCAGTATTAACATTTTTAACAAACCTCAAAAGTAGTCTGCTTATTAATATAGTATTAATAATATAAATACAGTATTTATTCAGACATCTATATCCCTTGTTAATGACACTACTTAAAGGTATAGAGAATGATCTTTTATTTCCAGGTGGATCATCTAAATAAGTGGTCCTCCTAACTGTCAATCATTCCACTAATATGTATACGTAAGGCCGTCCCATATACTCCTCCCGTTAGCAATCCTTTTCTGCGCATTCACACTTTCAGGCATATATCCGTGGTGAGCTACGGTTTCAACCAGTCATTGAAGCTCATCTTTCTCACTGGTCTTCTTTGAAAATGGGCGAGGGTCGTACGAGAAAAAGTGTTAAGGAAGTGCATGAGAAGAAATGAAAGGCATCACTAGAGGCAGATATATCCCAGAATGCTTAATGTGGAGAGCTCTCCTCGCAAAGCATTATGGGATTTGCTGACACAGCGGTCATAGTCTGTCGCTACCTAACAGCGGCAACTAATAAGAAATGTTGCGAGGGCACTGCACGGTGGAGGAGGAGTTACATGACCAACAGGGAGCAAAAAGCAGTGATCATCTGTCCGAACAGTAAGTTAACAGAGTTTTCTATAAAGTCTACTATATAGTCCCCGCTCCAAATACTGATTGAGGGATTTAGGGTAGATGTTTGGACACAGTAAGCTTGTATGAGCTATGAGAACAGCACATTTTAAACAGAGTGTGCTCAAGGAGAAATGGGCTCATGCATGCTCTCACACTCGTTTAATAGCCGTGAAGAGGCAGGGTCTTTTCAAAAATTCACAAAAATGTTCCACAATACCTTTAATGTTAGTTATCCCTGGACTGATGAGTCCGTCTGTCTTCCAGAGCTCCTGGTGGATCTGAGACCTGCTGCAGAGGTGACTGAGGGTCAGAGAGTCACATTAACCTGCAGCACCAGCTGTCCTCTCAGGGAAAACACAATCTACATTTGGTACCTGAACAGTCTCAGTCTGAGCAAAGCACAAAACAAACAGCTCATTATAGAAGCAGTCAGCAGGCAGGATGGAGGAAACTACTCCTGTGCTGTTGGAACCATCAGATCAGCTGGAAAGACTGATTGTCCAAAGAAGAAAGGAAAACTGGAAACCAGCAGCTGCTGGAATCTCTGCTGTTCTCTTCGTTTGTATAGCTCTGATTTTTTCCATATTTTGGTGAGTATTATTTGTCTACATCAGATCAGTAACTTTGCATACTCCAAATAAAACCCAGTAATTATTTTGTTTTTGTTTTTCTCCTTTTTATGAAACAGGAAATATAAGACTTCTCATCAGTTTTCAAGTCGAGCTGTCAATGATGGGAATGAGGTGAATAAAACAGGCTATTATTTCAAGTTTATTATTATATCCTGCTTTGATTCTCTATCGGGGGTTTTTCTTGAACCATTGCCTCTTAAGTTGCTTGACACTCTTGTATGTTTTTTAGGATAATCAGATATCACATTATTTTAGTGAAATCAATGTTTGATTTTGTCTCATCAGGTAATATCTTGGGTCATTTATCAGACTTGTGAGATTTCAGCTCAACCAGCCGAGCCTGATCTTCCCTTCCCTCATCCAAGGACGTCTTCAGCAGTCAGACATCCAAACACTTCAATGATCAGAAGAGGACCACGTGCTTCACTTCACAGTCATTAGAAAACTAAAACAGATCCAGAGTGAAAATCTATTAGTCACAGAATCAGAAGATTACTGGACTGAGGCTGCATATGTTTCTATTTTCTACTGCTGTTATTAGTTGTTACTTTATGAAACATGTTTAGTTTATTCTCTCACATCCTTTGTCGTGTCTTGACAAATTGAGATGCAGAACGTCGAAAAAATAAATCTTATAAGCCTATTAATCTGCTATCAAGATATCTGTCCTTTGAGCTATGCTGTGTCATCAGCTGCAGACTATAAACAACTAATATAGGAAATTATGTTTCTGTTTCATTTTATTTCATCAAGTAAAGTTCTGATATTGAATTACTTTGTAATAGATTTTTCATATTTAGCCATGATAACTTTGCAGTGAATATTTAGTGAATCTACAAAACAAATGGTCTGAAAGTGCAATTAATTCTTTGAGCAATAAACTGTCTTTACATCTTTGGAGTTAATTCTAAAACACAAACTTTTTTGAAATAAGACACCAGTGACTCTACAAAATAAAAGCCTTTTCATTATACACACTTATTAATTGCACCATGAGGCTCATTGTTATGACCCCAACTCAACCAGTTCCTTTAAATTAGACTACCAAGGCCTTTTCACAACACACCTGAGTGCACCTTTCTAAATAAAGCCCTCCCATTTCCTCTGTAATAAAGTATAGACTAATCTAATAAGAAGAAAAAAGAGGGATTCAAAAATAGTAGATGGATTCCATATCTCTCCAAATGTTGACCATATGCTAAAGACACAGACCTACGAGACCTTCAGAATAAGACAACAGGTCCTTTTCAAAATAAGAGCCTATATAATATACTCAGCAAATTATTGCAGTATAGGGATCTTTATCATTACCCCAGCCGTGAATAGGTGTGGTGACGCCAGCCGGCACCAGCTGTTGCGACATCAGTCGCCTACTAGGTGTTGTGAAGCCAGTCCCCAGTAGGTGAGGTGAAACAGGTCGACACTTGCTATGGTGATGCCAGTCACCATCAACCATGAACAAGCAATTTGCTACCTGGTATGGTGATATATGTCAATTTAAGGTGAACCCAACTAACCACATTAAGCCTTTGGTGTCAGTCCAAATATTATGCACACATGAATACGCAGCAAGTGGCAGGCATCTTCAAAATACCCTTGGGGAATTTTCTAGTAAGTTCTACTATCCTCTAACAGCAAAAAAAGTGACTGGAATTTTCAAACTTTAATAGTTGATCATATCACCATGCTATACTGTTTTAATCCTATCTGTTGTTAATATGTGGAGGTTTAAAACATCAAAGCTTAGTCAAGAATTGTTCAATAAAATTTGAACTGAAAAAAATCCAACATGTTGATTAAGGCACTGATAAACCCAACCTGTGGATGAAGGTATTTAATTATAACTTTCTAAATGTTCTTCCTGTTTAGTTAAAATTTTAGTTTCCACTTCATATGATACATATTTGTGTGTGAGTATGTGAGATATCCTCCCACTTATTTTAAAGCAGTTTATACATTTTCTGTTATTTAATACAGCTATAGCTGACAGACAGTGTGAGCTTTTTCTGTCTGATAAAGTTTCGACCACTTCCTTCAGTCTGCCCTCTGTGGTGAAACACAGAACTAGAAAACCTACCTAATTATCAAAGCTGTGCATTGAAGAAATTCAGCAGTCAGAGATAATGATGAACACTGCTGCATTTACTCTATTTGGCTAGGTAGAAAAAAAAATTGATTTTCCTTTTTTTTGTTTATATATTCATGAAATTCATCTTCTTTCCTATTTTATGGCCCTTTCGATTGGATCAGTTTTTGTACAAGTTACATTTATCCTGTTAACCATGAAGAGATAACTTTGTTTTTACTCTGTTATCTTTATAATTCCCTATATTTTTCCATGTAAACTTTTAAACCTGGTTCAAAACCTAAAATATTTTTTATTCTGTCTTTATTAATCTCAATTTCTCTTTCCTCTGTATATGCTGGTGAAGATTCTCAGTCATCCGGGTAATAGTAATTCAAAAAAAAAATGTCAAGTGGATTGGTTTTTAACTTTTTTTGGATCTTCCTCTGTACAGTTTTTCTTCAACATAGCATGTTTGGTGGCAACTTCTTGTTTCTTGGTTTAAGTTTACTTTCAGTAAAAGTTTATGATGTTAAAATGCATTGGAAGCTTGTGCCTTTATGTTCAAATAAAATCCAAAAAAGTTTAAATCAGACATGAATGATTGGAGAAAATCAGACATTCTTTCTAAATTATTCTAAAACAGCAAAGGAAGTTATGATGCAGCTTCACAGTTTTTCACTAGAGGTCTCTTCTTTCTTAAAGAAAAATGAAAAAGAAGGAAGTGACTCTGAAGCCTGTGAAGCTGTGGTCAGTCTGTCAGAAAGTTTCTCATGAATCCGGGTTCCAGTAAACTGCTACTGATTCTAACTCTTCTTTCTTTGACTATTTTGATAATATTTTTCTTTAACACCTGATGGAATAAGGTGAATTAATAACTTTATACATGATTTTTGGTAGCAGAATAAAAACAGTGATGTTCTTGTCAGAAACTGGATTTGTGGTGATGGTTTTAATGCTCTGCGTCTCGGGTATGTATCGCTAATTTCATTTCATATTTGAAGTAGATTTTGCAAGCATCTATAAAGAAAGATAACTTAGATGTGTTGAAGCTTCATACTTTGTCATTAGTTGGATCAGAATATTAATGGCACACTGAATAATGGGATGCTTATACAAAAATGTAAAAATGAAATATTAATAAATCAAATCTTTGTTTCAGGTACTGAATGCAAACCAAACAGCCTCTGTGCTTTAAAAAGTTCATCAGTGAATCTGAGCTGCTCAGCTCCACATTCAGCTGCAAACATGAAATGGTACAGTTATATTGGAAATGTTTATCAAGATGTTCCCACAGATGGGAATTCTTCAAAGTTCAGTATTTCAGAAGACACTTTAACCCTGACAATCAGAGATCTAACAGAGACTGATGAAAAACTTTACTGCTGCAGTGAAACGACTGCAAACAAACCAATCAGCTGTCAGAAGAACAGCATTAATCTCCAGGTTACAGGTAGAAATGTTTGATATAGAATCAATAAGCATAGAAATATAACATGTAAATTAATCTAGATCTTAACACTACCTCAGACCTTCAGGTAAAGGTGTTTCCTGCCACAGAGGAACAGAAAGTAACCCTGATGTGTAAAAGCAGCTGTCCTCTGACTGAAAGTCCTGCAGCCTTCATCTGGTACCAGAACAGAGAGTTCCTCTATGAGGACTGGTCCCACTGGTACCGAGAACTGGTCAGCAGTGATCAGGCAGTCAGATACTCCTGTGCCATCAAAGGCTATGAGGATCTGAGATCTCCTGAGGTCTCAGTGGGTGAGTGACCATGATTAGCTCTTTGTTTTCTATCCCCAATGCTGAGACACTAAGTGATGTTTGGTCTGGTTCAGATTCTGTCTCTAGGAGCTGCTTCAGTGTGACCTACGCTGGAGGCAGAATGTGTTCCTACAAGCAGACAGAGAAACAGTCCTGCTCTATCACATTTCCTACAGGTCATGTTACTTTAATCTGATGCTTTTCTAATCTAATCTCCCTAATCCAACAATAGAAATGTTGATCATTTGTTCATTTACTGTTCAAGCTAACAGAAATCTTTATGTTTTAATATTAAATGTCTTCTTTGGTAGAAATGAATGTCTGAAAATGTTCATCTTCTCCCAACAGAAGTTCATGTTGAAAGGACAGAAACAGTCAGGGGTCATTTCAAGCTGAACTGTAGCTCCAGCTGTTCTCTGACTGACCTTCAAACTTCCTTTCAGTTGTATAAAAAAACACAAACTGATCTAAATAAAGTTGATCAAAACACTGTAGTTCCCAGCAGTACACTGGAGAGATTCTTCTGTTCTGTGAAAGATCTTAATGATCTGCATGCTGATGAAGTTTGTAAGTTTTGTATATATTAATATATTCATAGATAATCTCAGTAAATATTTTCAGTTGTTGTTCTTTCATATTTCAGGTGCTGATGGTAGCAAGAACTGCTGGAATATTAATTATGTGAGCAGGAGAATCTGTGCCCTGAAAGGTTCATCAGTGAACATCTCCAGCAAATACTCACATCCTGAAAACCTGCAGCCACAGACTAAACACTGGTATAAAGTTAAGATGAATACAAAGCAGGAAGAAGAGCAGTTAATGGATGATGGAGGTGACATAAAGAACAAACACATCCTCAGATTAACCAACCTGGATCAGAAAGATTCAGGAGAATACAAGTTGAGAATAAAAGCAGACAATGATGAACTGATGCAGTCTGATTATCATGGAGTTACTCTGATTGTAACAGGTAAATATGATGGGTCACTGTGAAAACATTCTTATTACAAACTTTAAAACCTCAGTGTGAAATTTACATCTTCAACAAACTGAAACAAAAAAGTGTATTAATATAGCTAGATGTCAAGATCATATGTTTGCAGCACTGCTTAATGTTAGTTATCCCTGGACTGATGAGTCCGTCTGTCTTCCAGAGCTCCAGGTGGATCTGAGACCTGCTGCAGAGGTGACTGAGGGTCAGAGAGTCACATTAACCTGCAGCACCAGCTGTCCTCTCAGGGAAAACACAATCTACATTTGGTACCTGAACAGTCTGAGTCTGAGCAAAGCACAAAACAAACAGCTCATTATAGATGCAGTCAGCATGCAGGATGGAGGAAACTACTCCTGTGCTGTTGGAACCATCAGATCAGCTGGAAAGACTCCGATTGTCCAAAGAAGAAAAGCAAACTGGAAACCAGCAGCTGCTGGAATCTCTGCTGTTCTCATCGTTTGTATTGCTCTCATTTTTTCCATATTTTGGTGAGTATTATTTGTCTACATCTAATCAGTAACCTTCAATAATCAAAAAAGAATCAGTATTTATTTTTGTGCTTCCCCACTCTTTATGAAATAGGAAATATAAGACTTCTCATCAGTTTTCAAGTCGAGCTGTCAATGATGGGAATGAGGTGAATAAAACAGGCTATTATTTCAAGTTTATTATTATATCCTGCTTTGATTCTCTAAGGGTTTTTTTTCTTGAACCATTGCCTCTTAAGGTGCTTGACACTCTTGTATGTTTTTCAGGATAATCAGATATCACATTATTTTAGTGAAATCAATGTTTGATTTTGTCTCATCAGGTAATATCTTGGGTCATTTATCAGACTTGTGAGATTTCAGCTCAACCAGCAGAGCCTGATCTTCCCTTCCCTCATCCAAGGACGTCTTCAGCAGTCAGACATCCAAACACTTCAGTGATCAGAAGAGGACCACGTGCTTCACTTCACAGTCATTAGAAAACTAAAACAGATCCAGAGTGAAAATCTATTAGTCACAGAATCAGAAGATTTCTGGACTGAAGCTGCAAATGTTTCTATTTTCTACTGCTGTTATTAGTTGCTACTTTATGAAAAATATTTAGTTTATTCTGAGTTACATCCTTTGAGGCATCATGACAAATTGAGATGCAAAATGTCCAGAAATTTTTTTTATAAACCTATTAATCTGCTATCAAGATATCTGTCCTTTGAGCTATGCTGTGTGATCAGCTGCAGAACCTGGACTGTAAACAACTAATGCAGGAAATAATGTTTCTGTTTCATTTTATTTAATCAAGTAAATTTCTGATGTTTAATTACTTTATTATAGATTTTTTCATATTTAATCATGATAACTTTGCAGTGAATACTTAGTGGATCTACAAAACAAATGGTCTGAAAATGCAATGAATTCTTTGAGCATTAAACTGTGTTTAAATCTTTAGAGTTAATTCTAAAACACAAACCTTTTCGAAATAAGACACCAGGAACTCTACAAAATAAAAGCCTTTTCATCATACACACTTATTAACTGCACCATGAGGCTCATGGTTATGACCCCAACTCAACTAGTTTCTTGAAATTAGACTACCAAGGCCTTTTTCACTACACACCTGAGTGCACCTTTCTGAATAAAGCACTCCCATTTCCTCTGTAATAAAGTATAGACTAATCTAATAAGAAGGAAAAAGAGAGATTTAACTATTGTAAATGGATTCTATATCTCTCCAGAGGTTGACCATACGCTAAAGACACAGACCTTCGAGACATTCAGAGTATGACAACAGGTCCTCTTCAAAATAAGAGCCTATATAATATACTCAGCAATTTATTGCAGAATATGGATCTTTATCATTACCCCAGCCGTGAATAGGTATTGCAACATCAGCCAGCACCAGCTGTCACAACATCAGTCGCCATCAACTATGAACAAGCAATTTGCTACCTGGTTTGGTGATATATGCCAGTGTAAGGTGAACCCGAGTAACCCCATTAAGCCTTTGGTGCCAGTCCAAATACCGTAGTATGGACACATGAATGCGCACCAAGTGGCAGGCATCTTCAAAATTTCCTTGGGGAATTTTTTAGTTAGTTCTACTATCCTCTAATAGTTGATCAGATCACCATGCTATACTGTTTTAATCCTGTATATTGTGAATATATGGAGGTTTAAAACATCAAAACCTTAGTCAAGAATTGTTCAATAAAATTTGAACTGAAAAAAATCCAACATGTTGATTAAGGCACTTATAAACCCAACCTGTGGATGAAGGTATTTAATTATAACTTTATAAATGTTCTTCCTGTTTATTTAAATGTTTAGTTTCCACTTCATATGATACATATGTGTGTGTGAGTATGTGAGATATCCTCCCACTTATTTTAAAACAGTTTATACATTTTCTGTTATTTAATACTGCTATAGCTGACAGACAGTGTGAGCTTTTTCTGTCTGATAAAGTTTCGACCACTTCCTTCAGCCTGTCCTCTGTGGTGAAACACAGAACTAAAAAAACCTACCTAATTATCAAAGCTGTACATTGAAGAAATGCAGCAGTCAGAGATAATGATGAAACACTGCTGCATTTACTCTATTTGGCTACGTAGGGGGAAAAAACTGATTTTCCTTTTTTTTTGTTTATATATTCATGAAATTCATCTTCTTTCCTATTTTATGGCTCTTTCGATTGGATCAGTTTTTGTACAAGTTACATTTATCCTGTTAACCATGAAGAGATAACTTTGTTTTTACTCTGTTATCGTTATAATTCCTTATATTTTTCCATGTAAACTTTTAAACCTGGTTCAAAACCTAAACCTATTCTGTCTTTATTAATCTCAATTTCTCTTTCCTCTGTATATGCTGGGGAAGATTCTCAGTCATCCGGGTCATAGACATTCTGAAAATGTAAAAAAAAAAAATGTCAAGTGGATTGGTTTTTAACTTTTTTTGGATCTTCCTCTGTACAGTTTTTCTTCAACATAGCATGTTTGGTGGCAACTTCTTGTTTCTTGGTTTTCATGTTTACTTTCAGTAAAAGTTTATGATGTTAAAAAGCATTGGAAGCTTGTGCCTTTATGTTCAAATAAAATCCAAAAAAGTTGAAATCAGACATGAATGATTGGAGAAAATCAGTCATTCTTTCTAAATTATTCTAAAACAGTAAATGAAGTTATGATGCAGCTTCACAGTTTTTCACTAGAGGTCTCTTCTTTCTTAAAGAAAAATGAAAAAGAAGGAAGTGACTCTGAAGCCTGTGAAGCTGTGGTCAGTCTGTCAGAAAGTTTCTCATGAATCCGGTTCCAGTAAACTGCTACTGATTCTAACTCTTCTTTCTTTGATTATTTTAAAAGTATTTTGTTTAACACCTGATGGAATAAGGTGAATTAATAACTTTATACATATTTTTGATAGCAGAATAAAAACAGTGATGTTCTTGTCAGAAACTGGATTTGTGGTGATGGTTTTAATGCTCTGCATCTCGGGTATGTATCGCTAATTTCATTTCATATTTGAAGTAGATTTTGCAAGCATCTATAAAGGAAGATATCTTAGATGTGTTGAAGCTTCATACTTTGCCAATAGTTGGATCAGAATATTAATGGCACACTGAATAATGGGATGCTTATAAAAAAAATGTAAAAATGAAATATTAATAAATCAAATCTTTGTTTCAGGTATTGAATGCAAACCAAACAGCCTCTGTGCTTTAAAAGGTTCATCAGTGAATCTGAGCTGCTCAGCTCCACATTCAGCTGCAAACATGAAATGGTACAGTTATATTGGAAATGTTTTTCAAGATGTTCCCACAGATGGGAATTCTTCAAAGTTCAGTATTTCAGAAGACACTTTAACCCTGACAATCAGAGATCTAACAGAGAGTGATGGAAAACTTTACTGCTGCAGTGAAACGACTGCAGACAAACCAATCAGCTGTAAGAACAACAGCTTCAATCTCCATGTTACAGGTAGAAATGTTTGATATAGAATCAATAAGCATAGAAATAAAACATGTAAATTACTCTAGATCTCAACACTAACTCAGATCTTCAGGTAAAGGTGTTTCCTGCCACAGAGGAACAGAAAGTAACCCTGATGTGTAAAAGCAGCTGTCCTCTGACTGAAAGTCCTGCAGCCTTCATCTGGTACCAGAACAGAGAGTTCCTCTATGAGGACTGGTCCCACTGGTACCGAGAACTGGTCAGCAGTGATCAGGCAGTCAGATACTCCTGTGCCATCAAAGGCTATGAGGATCTGAGATCTCCTGAGGTCTCAGTGGGTGAGTGACCATGATTAGCTCTTTGTTTTCTATCCCCAATGCTGAGACACTAAGTGATGTTTGGTCTGGTTCAGATTCTGTCTCTAGGAGCTGCTTCAGTGTGACCTACGCTGGAGGCAGAATGTGTTCCTACAAGCAGACAGAGAAACAGTCCTGCTCCATCACATTTCCTACAGGTCACGTTACTTTAATCTGCTGCTTTTCTATTCTAATCTCCCTAATCCAACAATAGAAATGTTGATCATTTTTTCATTTACTGTTCAAGATAACAGAAAACTTTGTTTTAATATTAAATGTCTTATTTGGTAGAAATAAATGTCTGAAAATGTTCATCTTCTCCCAACAGAAGTTCATGTTGAAAGGACAGAAACAGTCAGGGGTCATTTCAAGCTGAACTGTAGCTCCAGCTGTTCTCTGACTGACCTTCAAACTTCCTTTCAGTTGTATAAAAAAACACAAACTGATCTAAATAAAGTTGATCAAAACACTGTAGTTCCCAGCAGTACACTGGAGAGATTCTTCTGTTCTGTGAAAGATCTTAATGATCTGCTCTCTGATGAAGTTTGTAAGTTTTGTATATATAATAATATATTTATAAATTATCTCAGTAAATATTTTCAGTTGTTGTTCTTTCATATTTCAGGTGCTGATGGAAGCAACAGCTGCTGGACTATTAATTATGTGAGCAGGATAATCTGTGCCCTGAAAGGTTCATCAGTGAACATCTCCAGCAAATACTCACATCCTGACTACCTGCAGCCACAGACTAAACACTGGTATAAAGTTAAGATGAATACAACGCAGGAAGAAGAGCAGTTAATGGATGATGGAAGTGACATAAAGAACAAACACATCCTGAGATTAACCAACCTGGATCAGAAAGATTCAGGAGAATACAAGCTGAGAATAAAAGCAGACAATGATGAACTGATGCAGTCTGATTATCATGGAGTTACTCTGATTGTAACAGGTAAATATGATGGGTCACTGTGAAAACATTCTTATTACAAACTTTAAAACCTCAGTGTGAAATTTACATTTTCAACAAACCAAAACAAAATAAGTGTATTAATATAGCTAGATGTCAAGATTATATGTTTGAAGCACTACTTAATGTTAGTTATCCCTGGACTGATGAGTCCGTCTGTCTTCCAGAGCTCCAGGTGGATCTGAGACCTGCTGCAGAGGTGACTGAGGGTCAGAGAGTCACATTAACCTGCAGCACCAGCTGCCCTCTCAGGGAAAACACAATCTACATTTGGTACCTGAACAGTCTGAGTCTGAGCAAAGCACAAAACAAACAGCTCATTATAGATGCAGTCAGCATGCAGGATGGAGGAAACTACTCCTGTGCTGTTGGAACCATCAGATCAGCTGGAAAGACTCTGATTGTCCAAAGAAGAAAAGCAAACTGGAAACCAGCAGCTGCTGGAATCTCTGCTGTTCTCGTGATTCTGGCACCTCTTTGCATTTTCTTGTATAGGTGAGTATTTTGTTAAGATCAATAAATTCTTATATGGAGTACAAACTGCTGAATTATGTTATGTATGCCTTTTTGACCTTTTTTTTTTTTTAGCAGAAAATGTAAGACTTCTCAGTCTTCTAGAAGTGATTCTGTCAACAACATGGACCAGGTAAAGATACACACTTCATTCTTCTAGCTTTAATTTTCCACAAGCATGATTTTTGCCTAATACTATAAAGTCATATCCCTTTAACGTGAAATGTGCAACTTATTTCTTTTCTTTAGATAAAAAGTGATCATACATATGAAGAGATTGCAGCTCAACCGGCAGAAATGGAACTTCATTACAGCCAGTTAGCAACTGAGAAATTAAATCCTCTTTACTGCAGCATCCAACATCACCAAAAACAGGAGCATGTTCCGTATTCCGAGGTCAAAATTAGCACAAATACAAATTCAGATTAAATATTATATTGATAATAAAATCAACAACCATCTGTCAACTGTTTTTTGTTTGTTTTTCACTTTTAAAAATATCAAAAGTTTGTTTCAGTGGAAATCAGAGTTTTCTTGATACTTCCCATCCAAATGTCAAAAGTTAAAAAAATTAACCTGAATAGTGAAATTTATTTATTTTATTTCTGCAAATGCAAAGTTGCAAAGTGTTTTCTGTGTAAATTTAAATAAAACTTTTGGATAATCTGGGCGGGCTCTGTGTATTAATTAAGCACAATTTACATAACTTCCAAGAAAAACCGGCTAAATATTTGTGCAAATCTCAACAATATGGCTGAATGTTTGGCAATATTACAGGTTACATTCAATAGGTTACATTCAATTCAAAAGGTAATGACACACCCCATAATAAAACTAAACGGCTTTGTAAATAAAATATTTGAGTTCATATATCTGAAAAAAAAGTTTAAATCCTATCTGTACTAACTTAATGTAATAAGAGGGCTAAAAGTAGCTGAATTAACAAAGTAGCCTAAGTGAGGATCTGTTAAAAAAGAACTATTGGCCATGTTTATGGTGTCATTGTTCTGCTAAAGACCACACATACTCTTACAAGCAGTTTTCTTTCATACAGATAATCATGAACTACTCCGCACGCATGTCTAGCATGTTACATGTGTAAATATCACACTGTATACCACACACGAGAGCTTGTTCCTTCTTTGCATGCATGTGGTTTCCACACGCCCCCGCAGCCCCCCTCCTCCTCTCGTGTTGACCTGTTTCTGCCACTGATCTCTATTTATTCACTGCATTTCTTATTGCTCGAAAAAGGTGAAGCCACCATCTGCCATGCTGGTACTCCCCACAGTAAAAAAATGCTGTGTTCAACATTTGGCTGCAAAACCAAGCAGTTTGCCAGCTGGGGGAAGATGTTTCACAGGTAATTTCACAGTCAGTGGATTTACTAACCAAGAAAATCCATATACCGGTATACGTTGATGAACACCATAGTATAGTATGTAGTGTAACATTAGTCTGGCTATCTCACACTGACTCGAAAACATTGACTAAATTAGCCATCGACACTGTGTCTAACGTGGGAAAATAGAAAGAAATTCAGTGTGAAATGTGCAACATACCGTCGTACTTGTAGTGTTTGATGTATTATTTGAAAAATGTATGTGCTGAAATATATTGCAGTCATTTTGAGGGGAAAAAAACATATATATGTATATATACATATATATATAAATGTATGTATAATGCATGCACGATTTGCAAATAGAAAAATACTATAGCATTAACAGACATGTACTTATAATTCATTACATTAAAATATTGAAATTACCGTATATGCAAGATTGTTATGTGCTTCGGGCACATTATGATTTTTGTCCATTTCTTTTCTTTGTTTTCTTATAAACTTTAGTTGAAGGATCTTTTGTTAATATATTTTGGGATTCTTTTAGCCAGTTAATTATGTTAATTTGTGGTGCTGTCGTCCGCCTATAAATAGGCTGGCTTTCAGCACGTTGGCGCGTTCCTTTCCAACCTCGTTTGGACGCCGCTTTCCACCTGCTTCATTTGCTCCATCGTGCGCGGTGCGCACTTGTCTTGTCGCTGCGGCCTGCAGCGGACGTTCCAGCCTGCCATGTGGTATTTTTGTAAACTTTTTCTTACTTTTTTCTGTAGGTTTTTGGCCTGGCGGGACCGGTAGTCCTGTTTTCGATTTTTCTTTTGCTTAGGTTATTTTTTTGCCTTTAGTCCGGTACCAGTAGGGGCTTCGACGGCCCTGTATAGGGTTGGCCCCCTGCTGTACCGTTTTATTCTGTTTGATCGGCCTGCCAGGTCCAACTTTCTGTTGTTACTTTGGGTTTCTTTTTTTACTTTTTGGGGCACGGGATTTGAGGGCCGTTAACTATTTTTCTCTTCGCAGAACATCTGAAGAAGCCGAACCAAGAACAACTAAAACGGAGAGAATTTATTAATAAAACATCCTTTTTTGAACCCTCATTTTCGTCTCGTGTCCTCAAATATGTTGTGTCCTTGGTGGGCGTAACAAAGATGTAATTACTATAACAATGTAATCAATACATGTATATTAGATGTGCATCATCAATTTAGCACTTTTTGCACATCTATATTATTATGCTCCATTAACACATTAATTTTGTGACAGATTTGTATATATGATTTAAAGACTTCATTTATTTAACTGACTATGCAATGTGATGTGCCATTTTTTATATAAGTTCAATTAATTTACTTAAGCTATGAAACACCAAGTGTGTGTTAAAGTGATGAACTTATCTTTATTTTAAAAGTCTCAAGTCCCCCTGAAAATGAGAACATCATCGTTTTTCAATGCTATAGGCATCTAGGGAGTAAGTAGGGAGTCCCAATATGGCGGCCGCTGGCTTCACTTCAACCCTGTACTACCAACGGGCAATCAGCAATCCAGTGAATAAGTAGAGATCACTTCTGTCCAATTTTGTAACTTTGATGTCATTACCCACCTGACAAACCAACCCCCCAGTGATTGGTTAATTTTCAGGGAGACTCGCATCCTGTGTTGTGACGTGTTCCCAAAGCAACCAGCATAAACTGTTTCCCCATTTCCAGCTAACGTTTGAGCTAGCAGTAACTATTGGGCTTTTTAACCGGAACTGTTTTGTAAGTGTCCTTTATGAAATAAAATTCAACTTTATTGTCATTACACCGTCACAAGTACAAAGCTATGGAAGACAGTCTGCATCTATCCAGAAGTACCATAAAGGATATAAATATGTATTTAGATGTGTACAGAGACTCTAAATGTATGGACTATAAATCGTATATATAAACAGAAAGTTATTGTTAGAGGCTATAAAATAAATAAATATAAAAAACTATATACAGATTATACAAGAAAGAGAGAGAAAAATATATATATACAATGATGCATTTGCTTAAGAAAATCAGTCAATAGCACATTTCTGATCAGTAGTAATATAATTTATTACCATGTACAGTAAATAATCACCTCAATATTAGAAAAAAAAAATAATACAAAACAATTGTCTTTGTTCCAAGTTTTGCAAGTAGCAGCAAGTCTTTTGTTCAGTTATATTTATGTAACTTTACTCTTGCAAAGGTTTGCACTTCACATATATTAAAGACAGAAAACATTTGGAAATAGGCAGTAAGTTTAAGAAGTTTATATCGAGTAGGTTTTGCAGTCTGGAGCAAGATTAAAGAATATGTGTAAAGTTAACCTGAATATTTATGAAATATCTCACAAAAGTAATTACACTCCTCATAGCTTTGTTCATCTTTTATATAATCCTACATGATACAGCCGCTGAGGAAGTCATATTTAGTCAATTATTAATGTAGGTTGCTATGTCTGCATCGTGAAGGTATATATAGGGTAGCTATGGTTTATTTATCCCCTGTGTGACACTTTCCAAAGTCAGATTATCTTTATGTTCTTCAGTAGGTCAGATTACATGTTAGCATACAGTTCATTCAGGGTACAGTGAAACTCTTCTCAGCTCTAAACCATGATACTCTCATCACCAGGTTTGACTATAGACGTGACACACCTCTATACTCTTCACCTGGTGCCTCCCAAATACATTTATCTTGGCCTCATCAGAGCGCAGGTCCTGGTTACAATACCAATCATTAGTTTGTCCATCTTGATGCAGTGTCTGCAAATAGTTTGATCCCTGAAAGGAAGACACCGCCTCTAGCCTCTACAGCCTCTGTAGGAAGTGCTGGAAAGCATGCATCTCTCCTCAAATTGAGCACCTGCATTCAACGTCTACAGTCTACTATGCCGAGGCCCGTTCTTTATGGAACCTTGTTAATCCACAGTAGGGTGCTGGCCTCTGTGCCAGAACTCAGTCTCTAGGTATTGGCCTGTAGGTCAGAACAAGTCTACTTTTCTTGAAATAAGTTTTTTTTTTTCCCTTATTTTGAGCAGATAAGCTAATTTGGAAAAGGAACAAGGTGATTTATATGAATGACAACAGTATTCAACTTCTTTATCTTATTTCAAGTCTACAAAGTTTAGTTATTTTAATTTCTATTGACAGATCATCTTGTTTACCTGCTGATATCAAGTAAATACATTTATTTTAAGAAATGTTGACATATTTGTCAATTATTTGTTGCAGTGTTGTCATAAAGTAGAGAAGTGTGTTCTTTTAAGGCTCACAAAGTGGCTAAAAAAAAAAAAAAAAAGGGCCTGAGTTTATTAACACCAGAACAGGGTATCCTCTTTGTAAAGGACATCAAAACCATCATTAACACATCTGCAAATGGCCCTTTTAAAGCCTCCATGACGCTGATGTGGCCTGGTATAAAAGTAAATTTGACACCCCAGACCAAGGATATCTTTATGTTAAAGAACTAATGTAGAGCTCCTTTTTTTCCAGACATTCTGAGTTTTTTTATTTTACCATGGTGAACCATCTTGAACTTCCAGTGTGTAGAAAAGTATGTGAGAGTGAGGACACCAACCTTTAACCTACACACATGCTCCCCGTTCACACCTACAGTAAGACCTTATAGTACTACAGTAACAAGCCACATGACACCAGGAAGGAAACATAGCTATCTCTGCAGGTTTGTACTCAGTTTTTTTCCTTGGTACAGACATTAAAGGCTGTGTGTGAACTCGAGTTTCTGTTTTCACATCATTTGTTGGACCAGAACAGATATTTGGAAATGGGGAGTAAGTTTAGGTGTGGAGCCAATAGTCCTTTAAGTGGAGTTTGGTTGAAAAACAAAGGTCCCAAAGAGATAAACCTACACGTTTAGACGCACTGAGGACCAACTAACTACTGTTCTTGCTTCCTGTCCAGATACACCCCGCTGTCTCAACACTAGGCCCCACTCCACAAAACATACTCACATAGAATAATGTGTGCATGTTAAATATAAAAGTATAAACACCAATAGAATCATGGTCCAGATATGTAGAGCAGAACTGTTAAACCATCACAACTGTTCTGCAGGATAAATAGGAGCTACAAGGTGACTTTGATCATACCGGCAGACAGAGAAAACATTTGAAAGTTTAGGTTTATAGATGTTGGTGCAGATTTGAAGGGGAATGAAGAAGCAATAACCCTTTTAGTCCAAGTGCGCAAAATCTGATAAGTGAACAAAAGGAGACTGTGTCAGAAGATAACGGTTTCTGTATGCTTCTTCTGTCTGATATTGTTTTTAACCACTCCTTCAACCTGTCAAGT